TGGCATAAATGTATAAATTCTAAAAAAAATCGCATAAAAATATGCCAATAAAGATGTTAATATAGATTTTGTAGTGTTTTGTGACATTTTTTTATTTTTTCATATTTTTATACCCTTCACCTTGGAAAGTTATATTAACTTTGGTACGTTAACTTTGTCATTCCGTTTGTAACATCCTTAAATCTTCGTCTTAGACCCCATAAAGTATATATATTCATAATCAGCATAAAATTCTAAGTCGATTTAACGATGTCCGTCTGTCTGTCTGTCCATCTGTCTGTTGAAATACGATACAGCCCACATTATTTGACGTAGAGCGTCAACATTTAGCAGAGCTGTTTGCATTGTGTCTAGGATGGTTGGTATTGAAAATGAGATATATCGGTCCACGTTCTGGTATAGTCCCATATAACGGTACCTCCCGATATTCGGTATTTTGATGATTTATGCCACATTTTTTCACGGATTTGTCTGGAAATTGGTATTTGTAGGTCATAACGGGTCCCTGAGCGTGTGGCAAAACATTGCATGTATAGGTCCACGTTGTGGTATAGCCCCCATATAAAGGTACCTCCCGATATTCGGTATTTTATTTTTTTTTGCCACATTTTTTCACGGATTTGTCTAAAAATTGGTATTTGTGGGTCATAATGGTTTCCAGCTCCGGCGGCGAAACGTTGCATGTAAGGGTCCATGTTTTGGTATAGCCCCCATATAACGGTACCTCCCGATATTCGGTAATTTGATGATTTTTGCAACCTTTTTTCACGGATTTGTCTAAAAATTGGTATTTGTGGGTCATAATGGGTCCTAGTTTGTGTAGTGGAACATTGTAATTATAGGTCCATGTTTTGGTATAGCCCCCATATAACGGTACCTCCCGATATTCGGCATTTTAATGGCTTTTGCCACATTTTTTGCCACATTGGTATTTGTTGATCATAACGGGTTCCAGCTTCGGTGGCGAAACATTGGATGCATGGGTCCATTATTTGGTATTTTGATGGTTTTTGCCACATTTCTTCTAATGTTTCTTTTACCCTAAGGTGGAGGGTATTAAAAGTTTGGCCCGGCCGAACTTAATGTTTTTTTACTTGTTAAATATTGAAGTGTATATTTTGTAATATTTTTTCACATTACAACATCAGTTGGGGTTGTTATATACAGATTGCAATTATTGTCCGATCCTCACGAAAATTTTCATAAGGGCAAGGCTGTCCGCAATATATTTAGGAGTTGAAATGGACCAACAACTAAAAATGTTCCTGATTTTGCAGCCGTTATAAAGGTCACAAATATAAACCAAAGGACAAAGTTAGAGTTTAGGACAGCAAGTAGAATGGACCATTAAATTTAGAGATACAGAGGGGCCTCTTCCTTTTGGAGATGATCGCAAAATATTTATGGGTTCAAATTAACCAAAAACAGAAAAAAATTTCCTGATCACACAATTTAAGCCAATCGACACGCTTGAGAAGAGAGTTAAGGACAGGGAAGGATTCAAGCATTTTGGATGGAAAATGGACCACAAAAACTAACAGCATGACTCAGCACTTAAATATTGGGCAAATGTCCTTGGTCAGGTCAGTGCTCCGTGCATTTTTTACGGAGATATGGCAAGCTTTTTTTAAAAGTAACTGGTATTACCTGCATTTTTTAGCAATGGCATATTTTTATACCCTACAACATTATGTGTTGGGGGTATTATAAGTTTGATTGGGCCAAAAATTATGTAACACCTCGAAATATTGATTTCCCACATAGGAAAGTATATATGGATATTCCTATCTCGCCGAGCTGAGTCGATCTAGCTATGTATGTCCGTCCATCCGTGTGTCCGTCTGTCCATGTTAATTTGTAATCACTCTACAGGTCGCAATTATGGCCCGATCTTCACGAAATTTAGAATGGAGGTGGGGCTAGGGTCAGAATAGAACCCTATTTCTTTTGGAGATGATCGGGGGTCGAAATGGACCAAAAACCGACAAAAATGTCGGATTTTGCAGTAGCTATACAGGTCGCAATTATAGACCAATCGACGCGGAACTTCGCATGTAGCTAGAGTTTAGGGCGGGGAAGAAGCCTACCAATTTGGGTGGTCATCGGATAATATTTAGCGGGTAAAATAGACCATATCTTTTTTGTTGAAAAAATTCAAAATTTTTCATTAAACCGCGAATATTTTAAATCCCGGCAAAATCACAAAGCCTTGACAAGATTACTTCTGATCTTTATATTGATGTTAACATCCAACAAATCGGATATATAGCAAAATATGTGCGATATATATGTCTATCAAAGAGGATATGCTTGAAATATCTCTTAAATGTCGAGAACGGCTGAACTGATTTCGACAGTTCTCATTAATTCAGAATGGCCTCTTGGCAGGAAAGAAACAACGTCTAAAAAATCGCATAAAAATATCTCTCTAAAGATGAAAATATTGATTTTGTAAAATTTTCTCATATTTTTTTCAATTTTGTCATATTTTTGGCATATTTTCATTTTGAATTAAACATTTGGTAATATTTCTACAGCTAACAAAACTAAGTAGTTAGGATATCAGGATATTTATGGCCCGATCCTAACGAAATTTTGCATGGAGATCAGATGAGGGTCAGAATATAAGCCTACTCTTTTTGGAGTTTATCGCCATATATTTAGGGGTTGAAATGGACCAAAAAAAAACTGCAAAATTGTCAGCAGGTCGTAATTATTGCCCGATCCTCACGCACATTTGAATTGGGGTTACCGGGCATTGCAAAAGCCAAGCAGTTTTGATTGGCCGTCCAAAAATATTAAATATGTGAAATAGTTTGCCAACTTTTGTAGACAAAATACGAAAATGACCATTCCAGTGACTTTTTGGAGAATTCACAAATACAGGAAAGACGAACTTCTGACTATTTCGTTAACGCTGATTTCGTTGCAGAATATAGTCAAATGTCTGTATCTCATATAGATGCGTTTCAGTCAAAACCCAATAATAAATATTAATCTTTTGCCACTTCTGAGAGATTATAGGTCTTTGGGAAATATTGGTTCCAGATCTAGGAAGACCATTTACGTGCAACATCTACCTATAAATTGGAAATGAGCAAATTAGTTCAAGTTTCTATTATTCGAAAATTAGAGAACGAAACCTGATGGTTTTCTTTTATTATTTGTCACAATATCTTGTGGAATTCTTTCGAGTATCTCGCCTATATAAACTGTATCGTTGATTATAGTGTTGTAGGGTATTCAACGGTCGGCCCCGCTCGACTGTAGCCTTTGCTTACTTGTTTTAGTTTAAAAATAACTAACAAAATGCGAATTTGTAATCAATTTCGTGAAATAAATATATAACTCAGTTCTTCAATAAAAAATAAACGATTTGCGTTATCCATTTTTATACCCTCCTCAATAGTATGGAGGGTATATTAAGTTTGTCATTCCGTTTGTAACACCTCGAAATATACATTTTAGACCGCATAAAGTATATATATTCTTGATCAGCATAAAATTCTACGTCGACTTAGCGATGTCCGTCCATCTATCCGTCTGTGGAAATTACTCTAGCTTCCGAACGAAATGAAGTAGGTTGATAAAATTTTACTCAAATGTATATTATGTCTGCAGGACGTTTGGTATTGAAAATGGGCCATGTAGGTCCACGTCTTCGTATAGTCCCCATATAACGGTACCTCCCGATATTCGTTATTTTGATGATTTAGGCGACATTATTTACCGGAATTGTTTCAAATTTGGTATTTGACGTTTTTAATAGATACTACAGCATAAAACAGAAAATTGGCCATGTAGGTCCACGTCTTCGTATAGCCCCCATGTAACGGTACCCCCTGATATTCTGTATTTTGATCATTTTAGCGATATTATTTACCGGAATTGTTTCAATTTTAGTATTTGAAGTTCGTAATGAATACTACATCCTAAGACAAAAAATGAGCCATGTAGGTCCACGTCTTCGTAAGCCCCCATATAACGGTACCTCCCGATATTCGGTATTTTGATGATTTTAGCGGCATTATTTACCGGAATTGTTTCACATTGTGCATTTGAAGTTCATAATGGATGCTACAGCCTATCACAGAAAGTTGTCTGTGTAGGTCCACGCCTTCGTATAGCCCCCATATAACGGTACCCCCCGATCTTCGGTATTTTCATGATTTTAGCGACATTATTTACCGGAATTGTTTCAAATTTCGCATTTGAAGTTCGTAATGAATACTACAGCCTATGACGTAAAATTGTCTGTGCAGGTCCACGTCTTCATATAGCCCCCATATAACGGTACCCCCCGATATTCGGTATTTTGATGATTTTAGCGACATTATTTACCGGAATTGTTTCAAATTTCGCATTTGAAGTTCGTGAAGTTCGATATTACAGCCTATGACAGAAAATTTCCTGTGCATTATAAACAGATTTTTTTTCTCAAGTTTCGCATTTCAATATTGTAATAGCTTGTGACAAAAGTTGCCTATGCAGGTCCACATCGTCGTATAGACTCTAATATACGGCTACATTAGGTATTTTCAAGATTTTAACAGATTTTTTGGGGATTTTATTTTTTTTTTGAAAATTGTTAAATTTGTACCAAATGATGGAGAGTATTCAAAGTTCGGCCCGGCCGAACTTACATCTTTTTTACTTGTTAAGTTGCGCATTTGAATATTTTAATGGCTTATGACAAAAGTTGCCTATGCAGGTCCATGTCGTTATAAAGACCCTAATATAATGGCCACATTCTTTATTTTAAAGATTTTAACAGCATTTTTAACGGATTTTTTTTTAATTGCCAAGTTCTTTTCAAATGGTGGAGGGTATTCAAAGTTCGGCTCGGCCGAACTTACAGCTTCTTTACTTGATACTTGGAATATAGTATATAAGGATAGCTTCCGATTTTCAATAATTTAAAGGATTGGTCCAAAGTTGGATATTTTGGCAGGACTATATAATTAATTATTAAAAAAAAAAAAACACAGCATTTGTTTTTTCTGTTCATAAACTTATTTTCATAATCACAATAAATCAGTGAACTATCAAATTTTCTGGTTTCTTTACTCTGCGCCGCTTTCTCTTCAATTTTTCGCATTCTTTAGGATGAGTTCTTTGTTCGTGTTTAAGCCGCTCACTTTTATCTGAAAAATTCTTGGGGCATATACGACATTTTCTGATCACAACTCTCGGCTTTTCTTCACCCGGATGACTGAGAGCTATGTGTTGATACAAACCGTATTTACCGTTGAAAGTTCGATCACAGAATCTGCAGTTATTGGTGACGATTATTTCAATATGGTCGGTGCTGTGTTCCAAGAGGGTCGTTTCATCGCCACAACAAAGGCCACACACAGAACACAGCAAACCGTCGTCAGCTATCTCTTCGTCATTCTTTTCAGATGTTTCGTTTATTTGAGGAGATTTGCTTATTTCATTCTTGGAGTTGTTTAAGCTTTCAGCCTCATTATTCGATACATCAGCAGTGACAGTTTCTTCATCGTTGTCTTCATGAAAGGAATCAGTTTTATCTTTCTCCGCACTTGTGTCAATGTCAAACGTTTGGGGTTTGTTCAAACTCATTTCAGATTTGACATCATAATCTGTGATAGGCACTTGTTCGGACTCTGCATTTTGTATAACATTCCGTTCTTCATACAACACATAATCGGGTATTATAATTTCTGGATTTGGCTTGATATCCAGATCATTAATGGTTCTTCCTTCAAGTTGCATGGGTTCATTCCCATTGGCATTTGACTTTTTAACATTTTCTGCTGCTGCCTGAAGTTTAGCTTGTATTAGAACAACAGTCTGTTGAAAATTATTAAAACTTGAAATGTGATGCCAACAGTCGGCACACAGAACGGCAGTGGAAGTTTGGATTCCCGTATCAACTTCGAAAAACTGAAAATAATATTTTTTGTATATGAATCGGATTTTAAATTAATACAAAGTTTGTGCTGCAATTACCATTGGATGGAAGAATTTTAAAGCAATGATGTATATTTCTGTTGTATCACCATGCACATTAAACAGCCGGATACTGTCATCGCAGAATGTTCGACACAAACGACATATGTTCGAGTTGGACATTATCTGAAAATTGAGAGTAAAACATTTAATTATGCATTTTAGGAGGGAGTTATACTCATATGACAACCTCTGAATCCATATGCATCTATCCAATTTTTCCAAATTTATGATTTCTCTCGCGTTGAGCTATTATTCAATGGATTTCACCAACCTTAAGTGATTTGAATGGAGATATGGTGCTGGTAACACATGGTATATATATTGTACGTAACTCGATCGCGACTTGTTGTTAGACATTTAATTTTCTGCAAACAGGCTTAGATCTAATACAAGGAAATCTTGTTAAACTACCGAGGTGGGCTTGTATTGACGGCTTATATGTAAATCCATCTAAAACAGGGTTCATCCTCTTCAGCACTTTATTCTTGCAAGAACTCTATAGGTAAGAACTAGGGACTTGAATCGCTTATAATTAAATGCATATATCTGTCAATTGTTATTTCGATTCTCAACTATGGAGCTATGATGCTCTAGACACCCTACTTAAGTTATATCCATTAATAATATTTGTAGAGGAACAGAGAACTTGACCAATGAAGCAGTCAGTCATTTGGACATTCTGCGAATCTACGGCACATGGCAGACATTGGAGGCGAAGTCAAAATATAATAATTAAATATATATCACCACCGCGGATCTTGAACTGACGGAGACGACTTGACCTATAACAACCCACCTTTAAACGGTATAGCTTCCTATACTGATCGTTCAAAGATGGAAAGTGGACCGGTGTTTGCTAGCAAAAATGCCATAGATCTGTTGGAAAACAGAAACAGTGAACTGAACGGTGCGATGACTATATACGTCGACTAGCAAATACCCGCTACTTCGTCAGCGAAAAGTCCACCTTAAAATTGTATAGCCTCCATCATTCTATGGAGAGTATATTAACTTTGTCATTCCGTTTGTAACTCCTCGAAATACTCATGATAGACCCTAAAAAGTATATATATATATATATATATATATATATATATATATATATATTCTGGATCACTTTTTCTTTTTTCCCCTCTTTTTGTTGTATTCAAGCTATCTTCCGAAAGAATTGAGATAGAATGCTAGAATATTTACACATATGTTTTTTGCCAGTAGGCAGGTTAATTCCACAAACGGACCATGTCGACACGCCCCAATTTTGGTATTTCGGTGATTTTAGCGACAATATCTACTGGAATCCGTATTACAGCTGATAACAACTATTACTTATGGTATTTTTCGACGAAATTTTTTGAAAATTGTCAAGTTCCTTCTAAATGGTGGACGGCCCGACCTATATATGCGTGTTTTCTTTGTGAGCGTGTTTTCTTTGTGAGAAAAGTGACGCTGGCGACAATGCATTTTTGGTCCCAAGTTTGTGTCTCTACTCTGCCTTTCAAGGTATTATATATTATTCAAGCTTTACCTTCATATTTAAACCCTAAAAACCACACGTGACTTCAATTTTTCATTTCAAAATTCCAAATTTCAGCTCCATCCCTCAACCCAATACCAAAATTGGTATCATTTAGTTCTTTAGATAGTACTTAGATTTCAGCACCAGATATCAACAAAGACCTAAATATCAAATTTCGCAATTTTAGTTCTATACATTCACGCAATGCCAAATTTAGTTCAATTTAGTATTTTTCGAACAACTGTAGAACGTATTTCCAAATCCACCTCTAAATCTTATCCTTATCCTTAGATGCCAACAGCTACATAAATATAAAATTTTAGAATTTTGTCTCTATCCCTCTAACCAAGGCCCAATTTAGTTATTTAATACAATTAATACTTTTCGAACGTTTATAGTACTCATTTCCCAAAATACCTACAATGACATCTATATCAAATTTCAGGATTCCAGTTCTATCCCTTCAGCCAATACCCAATTAAGTACCACTTAGTACTTTTCGAACAATTAACGTACACATATCCAAAACCACCTCCATTTCTCGATTCCAGATATCAACAGAGACCTCAATATCAAATTCGAGAATTCCAGTCCAAAAAAATAATATCATTTAAAAAATGAATACCATTTAGGATTTTTCGTACCAATAAAGGGCGCGTTTCCGAACCACCGCCAAATATCAAGCACAAATACCATCAATAATATAAATATTAAATTTCTGAATTTTATCTTTCACCCTTCACCCAATACCACATTTAGTTCAATTTTATACATTTCGAACAACTATAGTAAGGGTTTAGAAATCCGACCTCCAAAACTGTATCTATCTATATATCAAATTTCAGAATTTTACTTTTATCCCTTTAACCAAGGCCAAATTTAATAGCATTTAGTATTTTTCAATCAATTATAGTACTCATTTCCAAAACAACCTTAATATCCTAACCACAGACTTAACCAATCGAATTTCAGAATTCTAGTTCTATCCCTTCACCAAATACCCAATTAAGTTCCACCTAAAAATTTCGAACAATTATAGTACGCATATCCAAAAACACCTGCGTATTTCAATTTCAGATACCACTCAATATCAAATTTCGGCATTCCCACTCTATTCCTTCACCCAATAAGAAAATTAGTTCAAGTTGGCACTTTTCACACAACCACAATGGAAATTTCCAAACCTATCTCCAAATCTCAACCTCAGATACCAACAGTTATCGAAATATCCAATTTGTGAATTTTATTTCTATGCGTTCAACCTAGGCCAACTGTAGTACCATTTAGAACTTTTTAAACAATTATAGCACGCATTCCCCAAACCACCTTCATACCTTAACCAAAGACACCAACAGAGACCTCAATATCATATTTCGGGATTCCAGCTCTATTCCTCCTTCCAATATAAAATTTAGTTTATATAGTACATTTCGCACAACTATTGTATACATTTCCAAACCCCCGACCAAATCTCAACCTCAGACACTAATAGTTATCTTAATATCAAATTTCAGAATTATATCTCTCTATAGTAAATATTTCCGAAACCACCTCCATATGTCCAGACTACACATGAACAGCAACCCTAATACCCTAATACCATGGTCATCTTTATTTGTTTATGTATGTGTTTTCTTTTCAATAACAAAAAAAATGTTCAAAAAATATTCAAATTCGCGTGTTTTCAAAATGTTTATTTCAACGTATGCATCGAAAAAATCTAGAGTTTTTGTAGCGAAATAATCCTTTAGAGATATGTAGTACATGATTTTGAAAAGAAGTGTTGACCTTTCTTTCAGTTATCGCGTTTTTCAATTATTTATTCAAAATAAATGCAACAAGTTGTTTGATTTTTAATTGTTTTGATACTAATTCTGACATTACAAGCTAAACAGGTAGACCTCCATACTTGCAATTTTTTCAAAGTTGGCCTACCTTCTCTTCATTGCACCATGCCAATTTCAGATTTAAAGTAATATCTGTACAAACCGAATTTTACAAAAAAAAATATTGTGCTATATAGTAATTTTTGTGTAATTGTAACTCCAATGCAAAATTTCATTATGCATTTTATTTTTTATTTTCACTTATTTATTTAACTACCAGCAATAATCTTCTAGTGTTGCAATTTGTTTCGATATCATACAGAAAAATCTGTTATCGTAGTAAATTTGTTTACATTCTTCTGCAATATAGCAAAATAAGCTGTTACCGAACTAGCCGTTGGGCGAACGAACACACCAAATAACCGAAGCCAGCCCTTACAACAAAGCGAACACGTTTTATTTTTAACAGACTTTTTGCAAGAGAGAATCACACAATAGATAAACGGTGAGAGCAACTTGCAGAACTTTTTTGAATAACAAAAAACCAAACTCTTGAAGAAATTGATGTACAAACGTATGTACGTATATTTGTGGGTAAGTACTTACATATGTTTTATAAAATTCGTCTCTGTTCCGAGTCTTTCTCAAACGGTATTACACAAAAAAGTAACACAAGGTAACACATTCACCGTAGGTTTAGTACTAAACACTGTATAAAATAGGCTATATCGAGTGCGCGACAAAACAAGTTTGAAAGGGCACATGCGTGTCCATGACGTACAGATGAAAGAATACATTACAGCTACACAATAAGTCTGTCTGCTAATTAGGTACTTATATCATAGACAAGTGAATATCTAGATAAGAGATAGTAAGTTTTGTTTTTAGGCAGGTTTCAACTATTTCACTTGATTATTCCGACATTGTTCGAAGCTTTAGTTATCAGGTATCCTTTAGTTGTTGATATTTTCAAAATTTTAGAATTGAGCGACTTCAATATTTTCACTAACTGACTCAATTTGTATACCCTACACCACAAGGTGGTCATGGTATTATGTATTTGTGCATTTGTTTGTAACAGGCAAAAGGTAACGAGATGATCTGCATAGAATCACATTCTGGGTCGATTTATGCATGTCCGTCCGTCCGCCTGTCCATGTATTTTTGTAAACAAAGTATAGCTGGAATGTTTTGACCGATCCAGATGACATTTTGCACAAATCATTTGTTTGGCCCAAGGACGCATCCTATTGAAATTGGAGATAATCGGTAAAAATTTTGATATAGCTCCCATATATATCTTCGTCCGATTTGCCTTTTATTGTGCACCAAACGTGTAATATCAGCCCAAATAGTATGGAATTTTGCACATAAAAACCAAATTAGGCCTGAAAATAAGTATTTTATCGAAATCGGTTCAGATATAGCTATAGCTCCCATATATATTGTTCATCCGATTTGTTATTTTTGACCTCCGCTGCCGTAATATGCACTCTGTAACAACAACATTTGGTGAAATATAGCAAATACAGCTCAGAAATACATTAGCTAAACTTTATCGAGATCGGTTCAGATTTGGATATAGCTCCCATATATAACTTCGTCCGATTGTCCAAATGGGATGAATTTTGGCACTTACGACCGAATTTTATCTAGAAGCTTGTATGTCAAATTTGGTGAAGATCGGTACAGGTATAGCTCCCATATATATTGTTCATCCGATTTGTTATATTTGTTACCCACAACCATAATATGGAAATATATCAAATAAAGCTTACAAATATCTTTGCCAAATTTTATCGAGATCGGTTCAGATTTGGTTATTGCTCCCATATATATCTTTATCTGATTTCAAATTAATTTTGCACCAAATGGGCAATACAAGTCCGAATTTAAAAGATACAAATGCTTCGGCATATTTTGTCCTTTGAACTTTAAATTATAATTATAATCATAGCGTGTATGTTTGAATTCTCCCATAAAAACTTTTAATATTTATGTGGAGCTCTACTAAATTAGTAAAGTGGTGTAGGGTATCATAAATTCGGCCCCGCCCGACTTTAAGACTTTCTTTACTGGTTTTTTCATAGACAAGTGAATATGTTTATAACATAAAGTAAGTTTTGTTTTTAGACAGGTTTTAAGTATTTCACTTGATTATTCCGGTATTTTTCGAAGCTTTAGCTCTCAGGTATCCTTTATTTGTTGATATTTTTAAAATTTTAGAATTTGTGACTTCAATATTTTCACTGACTGACTCAAAATTTTTCTATGATAAGCGGTGAGAGCTACATATTCGTAAGTCTAGGATTGTGGTATGTTGGTACATGGTACTAAATTTGGTACAATTTGTATTTGGGAGAACCGATAGGGCTGAACTTCTGAAATTTTAATTAAGATTACTGTTGGAATATAGGATTGGGCTACCTAGGAACTGTGGGAAATTCGTACTTATGTGTATTAAATGCTACTAAATTTGGTACAAATTAGATTTAAGTTAAGTCCTGAAAATTCGAACTATTTTTGGAAATAAGTACTACAAGAGTACAAAAAGTAATAAATCGTACAAAATTAAGCATTGATTGAATGGCTAAAGTTAGAGTTCTGAATTTTGGTGCTGGGGTCAGAATTGGTATGTAGATGGTTTTGGAAAAACGTGCCGTACATGTATTAAAGGCACTAAATGGAACTAAAATTTTAATTATGGTCGATATAGGTATGTAGGGTTGAAATGTTTTTGAAAATTAATATTTATGAGAACGAAAAGTACCAAGTGGTACAAAATTTAGAATTAGGTATCCGTATATAAAATATTATTGAGATAACTGTCTGACAGAGTATCAACGCCCAGATGAAGCGGCAGAAGCTAGAACCTTGAAATTTTGCACGACATATAGTCTAGGTGCCTACGAGTGTGTTAAGGTTGGGTTTTTGAAAATTCGTACTAAAGTGTACGAAAACTTCTAAAATGTACTAAAAATTTAATTCTTTGTATTGGATAAAGCGAATGTGCTAGAAATTTTGCATAAGAGTTATTTAGGGAGTGCAAGGTACATGTACCAAAGAGCTTTTGGAAACTTTAAGGTTACGAAAAGTAAACTGGTACTAAACTTCTAATGGTACCATTCGGTATTATGTGAACGGTTAGAATTAAAAACTTGAACTTTGGTATGAGACGTAAGTTTGATATACGAAGATGATTTTGAAAATGTGTACTAAGTGTGCAAAATGTACTAAATTTGGAACAGTTTTGTTTAAGGTGAACGGATGAGGATGGATTTCTGAAAAATTTTATTGAGTAAAGAGTGGATTTATCAAATGTGTACTACAAGTGCTCGAAAAGTACCAAATAGTACTATTTGGTATTAGGTGAACAGATGCAAAAGATGCTTGCAATCTGAAATTTGGTATTAGGGTCACTGTTCATGTGTAGTCTGGATATTTGGAGATGGCTCCGGAAATATGTATTATAATTGTACGAAAAGTACTGAATGGTGTTATAATTGGTATTGGGTGAAGGGATAGGTTAAAATTTTGAAAATTGAGATATGGCGGTAGGTTTGGAAATGTGTCCTACATCTGTACGAAAAAAATAATGGTACTAAATTTGGAATGAGGCTGAAATTCTCAAATTTGATATTGAGGTCTCTGTTGGTATCTGGAATTGAGATATGCTGGTGGTTTTTGGAAAAGCGCACTATAATTGTACTAACTGGTACTAAATATGGTAACAGGGGAAATTAAAAAGCTGAAATAAAATCGGTATTTAGGTCTCTGTTGGTATCGGGGGGTGGTTTTGCAAATGCAAAAGGTTTTCTCCAAAAATACTAAATGGTACAAATTTTGGATTACTGTTGTCATTTAGGATGGAGAGATGTAGATTGTTTTCGATATGCGCACCAGAGGGCTGTAACGAGTATACAAAAATTCAATCACACTCGGTTTCTTATATGATTTTTGTTGATGCAGTCGTTTGGTTTGATCTGAATGAATTGACCGTTTTCGGATCGGATCGAACGCTCAGTTTGAATCACATCACTTTCAATCAAACATGAGTATTCGAGACGGTTTGATGTGTTCAGCAACATGAGTTGATCGAACACATGAATGTAAATGAGCAATCACAACCGTGATTGTTTTCTTTGAATCGAGTTCGCTCAGCGTCACTGTTTATTCATCCAAATAAGCCTGCACAGGCAATTTTGACGAACTATATTTGAAATGGAAGAAAATTGTGAGAGTGTAACCGAAAATGTTGCAAATGGAAACTAAAACGAAAAGGTAGAAGTTTTGTGTGGAACATCATAACTCATGTTTTAAGATCAGATGGCACAGTTTTACCTGGCTTTGTTTTCTGCCGCACTTGTAATAAAACCTTGCGGTACAGCAATAGCCAAACATCAAATTTAACACGACATGGGTGCTGCAAAATGTTGAAGGAATCGCAACCCTTAAAATCCGTATCAGTGAACGACTGATATATGTTCCTTTTGTAGAAATAAGCAACTGAAATACATTTTTTGTTATTATTATTTTTGAAAAAAAAAAAAAAAAAAAAACGTGTTCCTTTTTTACATATAAGTGACTGAAGTCTGATTTTTTGTTATTTTTTTAGAAATAATGTGTTCTTTTTTAGAAATAAGCCACTAAAGTCTGGTATACTATAAGCCCAAATGAAATAAAAAATCCTTATTTAATAAATACCATTTGTTTCGATTTCTTTAATAGGTACTGCTTCTAGTATTGATAACCATACCAAAACTACAATACATGATTACGCTCAGATTCGATCTAAGATATGGAGGTGGTTTTGGAAATGTGTACCATAATTTTACGAAAATAATACTAAATTTGGTATTGGGTGAAGGGATAGAGCTAAATACTGAAATATGATATCGAGGCCATTGTTGGTTTCGAGAAGTCGAAAGAGTTTTTAACAAAAACAAGTAAGAAATCTGTAAGTTCGGCCCGATACCGAATATCGGGAGGTACCGTTATATGGGGGCTATACGAAGACGTGAACCTGTACAGAAAATTTTCAGTCTTAATGTCGCTTAAATCACGAAAATCCCGAAAATTGGGAGGTACCATTATAAGGGGGCTATACCAAAACGTGGACCTACATTTTCAATACCAAGAGTATTGTAGATTTATATACATTTGAGTAAAATTTGTTCAACTTACTTCAGTTTGTTCGGAAGCTAGAATGATTTCCAAAGACGGGCAGACGGATGCACATCGCTAAATCGGCATAGCGTTTTTCTGCCTTATTTAGGCCAAGATCATATGTTTATGATTTATGTGTTTGTTTCTCTTTCGAGAAGAGCTTAATGGACTGAAATTTGCAGTGAAAAGGAAAGCCAGATAGACACTATCACACACTTACCACTATGCGACGCGTTTCGCCGTTGGATAAGCGGCTCATCAGGCATATTTGGTGTGAATGATGGCTTACAAGGGCCGTTTACTGGAAAGTATATATTTCGAACTTATTGAGAATTAGCATATGCGAATTAAATACTAGAAACTCTCCAAAGTTCGACTCAAGTTCTATTAGCAGATTTTTTCACAGCAAAGTTTGTTTTTGTAATGATGATTTCTTTATATTTGGCTGGAAAATCACAAGTGCCTTTCTTTAGAGCAAACCAGCATTTAAATGTGAATAAATCTGTTGTGTCTCGTACCATCGTTCGTTACCGTGATACTGATATCGTAGCCCGGCGTCAATAAAGTGAACGG